CCGCCAGCCTCCAATGGTACGGTCAACCTTACACGGGCTATAATAACTACTACGCAAGATTCGGCACAATACCACAACGGTATGTGCCATTTCCGAACGGACAATTGTACGGGTTCAATGGAAACAGTCGACAACTTACAAATCGTTACCAATATAGAAATAGCGTTCCGGGTAACCTGGGAGTAAGAAATAGTGTTCCGAATAACCTGGGAATAAGAAATAGTGTTCCGAATAACCTGGGAATAAGAAATAGTGTTCCGAGTAACATGGGAATAAGAAATAGTGTTTCGAGTAACCTGGCAATAAGAAATAGCGTTTCTGGTAACCAGGGAATAAGGGATAGCGGTTACGGCAATCAGGGAAATACAAATAGTGGTTACGGTAATCAGAATAGATACACGAATCAGGAAAATAACAACAACCAATGGAACTCAAATTCGAAATACAACAGAGGATATAGTAGACAAGATTACAGTAACCAAGGCAGCAGAAACCAATGGCAACCAAATCAACAAAATGATAATAATGCATATGGATACAACAAGGGTAGCATCAAGCAAGGATATAGAACATCTAGTTACAGAAACAGTGGTCAGAACAAACAGTATTATAACCAGAACGGTCAAAGTCTTACACAAGGCGTAATAGCAGAGTACGACAATGACTCCGCCCCCTCTGTAATGAAGACGCCCAATTCGGGGGCGTGTCTCTGTCGAGGGAGGCTTGAGGTTTTTACAGTGTACTGTATGAACTATGCTGATAATAGAGAGAGATGTGAGTCGGAGGGAGATATATGTCATTGTAGGGCGTAAAATAGAGTCGGTAGTTATTAAGGGTAGTTCATTTATAGGACGTACATGTTCCTAATAAATACGGGTGCGGGTGGTTACTGGAGGGTTTCAAATTGTCAAAGACTTACGTCACAATCACAATGACGTCACTCTTTGTTGTTTCTCGAGCGTCGAATGCCTGTTGATGCTTGATAATTTGAACTGTGGAAAAAAATATGGATCCCCATACTGCTTCAAAAACCTGTCACTATGCATTGGAAACCGTTTTCGGGCAAGATTATTGTTTGGTTGAAAGATTTCTTAAAAGAAAGAAAAAAAACATTTGTCAAGATTTTATGAAAATTTAAGTTAGATGAAATAAACGGCATTACAATAAAATGGTGCCACTGACCAGGATTCTAGCACAGGGCCACCAATTATTACACTGCCGCTCTAATCATATGAGCAGTCAGATAAGAGAAGGTTACCTTTCATACGGAAAACTATAGTTGAATTCTGTAGTGTTTAATGTAATATATATATATATATATATTGTAATAATAAATAGACAACATTTGATATAGCGCCCTATCTAGCTAGAGTAATTCACTCTAAAGCGTTTTGCAGTACAGAGATATACAATGTATACAATTTATACAATTAGCATATACATTAATCATTATAATTTTGAGGAATTCGCAGGATCTGCCTTATCAGGCGCTAACTACTAGTTCTATGCCACCTGTCTAATATCTCCCTATGTGTGTTTCCCTGCGTGTATGCTGGAGATGTATTGTGTTATGTTTGTAATTGGACCGTGCTTCCAACGGTATCATTTATAGTGCCACCTCACTTGAATGCTACAGCATAGATACCGCAACACCGCCCCAAGACAATGTTATACTCCACCTGGGTTGTTGGAGTTTAGCTTGCAGTGGAAAGAGATCCTTATAAGCATGCAATATGTGGTAGAAACTGTTCAGAGATGTACCGAGTTATGTAACCTCACGCTGTCACCACTCTACAATGTAACAACTACATCAAATAATGATTAAATTCATTTTGACAAGCTTATCCGTATTATGCCACCACGGTGAACAAGCTATAGTTGCTTTTGACCATTAATTGTGACGTCACGGGAATAAAACGACAATGTTAAAATTTTGTCAAAGACAAAGAAATGCTTCTCATACTCTCGCTTATTCTGTATATTGTTCTGATTACGCAAAAGTGCTAATATGATTAACAAACTATTCCTGTCCCAAATGATACTGGCGGAGCTTGCTGGAGCTCTTCTCATTATTATTTTTGACCCACTCGCACTTAATCAACTATGCTTATTTTATACGTACGGATTGCATGCCGTATGCTTACAATTGTATGATAAATTGTGATACAGAATGTTTTGTCACAAAGCTGTTTTTCAGTAATTCTTGTTATAAACATTTAAATCGACGAATCGAAACACGAACCAGTTCGAAATGCTCTCTAACTTGACGGTAAGCTGATGTCACTGTCTTCGTAATGTTTACCCCACTTGTTAGAAGATTTTTGGCAGCAAATTGAAAGTATAAGCAGAAAATATGAAATATGAAATGCTTATAGAATTCGGTTTCAATCGATTATTGCGTGCAATACTAGGATCTTGCCATGCCTCGAGGTTAGGACAGATAATTATCGTCGAAGTGTATTTGTGTTTGTTTCACGCCAGCCAAGGGTTAGACAGTCTACCTCTTATATCTTCCGAAGGTAGATGTTTCTGTAATATATCCACAAGATAGAGGATGACCCCCGCCCGCCAACCTCCCTCCCCCATCCACAATAAATGAAAACAATGAAACACTTGTGTGCTATGTAAATCAATGACTTTTTTATGTAGAATAACTGACATTCATTGGCTTATAAACCACAGTGTGGTACACACGTGTTATAACTTCCGGTTAAGCACGTTTCTAATGTCCGTGCTAGTTATCTTCCAGAGTATGTAGAACAAGTCTTTCTTTGGCCGGAAGTGTGGATTTTTCTGTCTAATGAGTGAGAAATTGTAATCTTTCTTTTACCAGAAGTGTGGATTTTTCTGTTTAACGAGTGAGAAATACTAATCTTTCTTTAACCGGAAGTGTGGATTTCACTATCTAACTAGTGAGAAATAAAAGTCTATTTAAGAGCTTCCAATGCAAGTGGATATATATTTAGAAATCATGCAATATGCATAAGGTTAAAAATTCAACCAAGCCGTTCTATACATACATATCTATATATTTGTACGTAGAATTTATCTGCATTTAATGCTGTTCACTTTGTCGCTTAAGCATGTATGACTGTTGAAAAAGCAATATATTACGGTACAGATAGGCAATATTTCCTCAGGTTTGAAGCCTGTGACTGTTATGTATAGATAAAAGTAAGGTTTGATACATCATTGTTTATGTATCAAAAGTGACACAAAATCCGTTTATTTTTACATGTATCTCTCTGCTATGCTTAATAAATGTATCAAAATAAAAACAATTTGTCGAGTTTAAATCAATTTTAAATATAACATTTATTTAGTTTACAGTAATTGTAAAACAAGTCTTCTAACTAATATTTATCACTTACATTTATCACTCTTGTTGACCCGAATGGAACTGCGCAGATGGTGATAATGTTGGATTAACCGGAACGCCTGGAGAAAACCCACATGATTCGGCAGATGACACCATAGCTTTCCACGTCAGATCGGAGAATCGAACTCCGGACGCCTTGGTGGAGGGCAGGTGTGTTATCCATTGTGCCACCCGATCAACACAGAAAACAAATGAAATCCGTTTTATTGTATCACATCACAATACAGATGAGTGAGACAAGGTTTTCACAATGTCCACTGTTGAATACAAGTAATTTCAAATTATGACAACAGAAATGATTTAAGTAAACAAAAGTCATCCTAAATTGAATTAAAAACATTGATCATTGATTGGCGCAATCGAACAATGACAGCAAAAATCAACATACATAAAGTAAAACAAAAACGGATTCTAGAGAGATACTCTTAAACCATATGTATATGCGTGTAGCTTGATCACCATGGTGTTGGTGAGGGGGTCGGGGAGGAAAGACAGAAGGCAGACTCTGTGGTGCTTTCTTTTCTTTTATTGCAATCTCAATCTTTGTATATTAGCAGACATGTCATCAGGAAACATTTTTTAATGTTTAATGTTTCATGTTTCACGCCCTTGTGTATGTTTACGTATTGGGGGCATGGTAGTCTAGTGGTAGGACGCCGGGCTCGTGACCGAAGGGTTGCGGGCTCGAGTCACGTCACGGTACTGTGTTGTATCTTTGAGCAAGACACTTTACTCCTCTTGTTCCAGTCTACTCAGCTGTAAATGGGTACGTGGCTGGGCAGTGCTAGAATTGTTAAATGTCGAGCTGTGAGCGCCGAAATGGCAGCACCGGTTGCATGCTCCCGAGGGAGTTGAGAAAGATATTGGTTGCAAAGGCTCTATAACCACCGATAATAATTTGTGAACCGCTTTGAGACGACCTACGAACTAGGTTGTGATGAAGCGGTACATTTGTATAAGCACGGATTACAGAGTCTCGTGTTAATAGCTGTAAACGGTCTTGAGCAGTGGCCCGTTTCGTATGCCAGAGGTTATAACACGAACTGACGAAATGATGCTGTGAGATAAAGGAATGTTTGTCGATACACCTGGATGTGATACAATGTAAGTACAAAGTCCGTCTCCTTTTCGGCGGCTCCTGAGAGTCATCGTAAAGTTAAGCGAACTCTATTTAAGGAGTTCTGTCCCACTGCAGGGAGAACTCGAGAAAGTCGTTTGAAGGGTTTCGTGCATAATCTTAGTCGTAGCCTGGGTTAGTTAAATTAATGGTTGGGGGAAAGGGAAGAGGGGGATCGAAATTTCAGTTTATATGTAAGTTTGTACTTGATTTACTACTTGCAAAGTTGAACAGGGTTTAAAGCAATAAACACAGGCAGAACAGGCCAGTTAGCCGACAAAAGATACTTCGAAAATATATCCGCGAGGGTGGGTAAGGGGGGTGGTGGAACAGCTGCCCCCTATGACCATAGCGGATGAGTTGCTGTGCCTGATGAGATATAACCGACGGCACAAACTGGCTTCTGTAATCAAACGGCCTTCTCTGTTTACGCCGAGAGCGCAGTGATGTAAACCAAATGTAGGACAGGAACCTCGTTTTAGTGAATACGCTATAATCCTATTACGCAGTTCCCGTTTTACAATGGAGTGTGTAGCGTTGCTACTTCTGATCCTTTACGTATATCCTAGGATATCACAAGCAGAGGACACGGGTGCACGTACATTTCGTGCCGCAGTTTACGAGCATGCAGTGTACCTACCCCTAAACAGGAAAGTACATGTTTCCAGGGAAACGGCCCTCTCAGTAATGATGAGGAATTTACGCGTGTACAAAGAGCAGACAGAAATAGCCGCCAGTCAGGTAAAGTACCGAGATATTCAGGTATATCAAAGTTTTACTTTCTACACAAGCAATGTACGTATTAAACGTGTCGTAACGTTTCAAGACCGACTGGTCCCTTTGCCAAGCTATCACTGACACACTGAGTCAACGTCTTGAAACGAATTGCGACACGTTTAACGCGGACATTGTTTCTGTAGAATGTAAAACTTTGATATCACATATTTCCAAACTGATGAAACTTATTGATGATATTCAGGTATAAATAGTATACCACCAACCTAGTGCCCGTTCAGGTGGATAACCTCAGACCGACATCCAGGTGTAGATATTAACACAGACAAATGTGAACCAGGAGTTGGTTATACTATACCAAGGACAAAAACATGTTACCGATATAAATATAAGAAGATATCTATGGCGTGTCAAACATTGCACTATTCAATAATTTTATATTAATGTTGGAAATTTTGATATTTGTATTAAAAAAAGAATCAAAAGAAAAATAGATCAGATGATAGTAGATCTGTCCATATTTTATTAGTTAGTATGTAATAAACAGAATAAAACACGAAAAAGGCATGTATTATTCTCTATATATGCAACAAAAAATATCTATATGTTCAATACAAAAATATCTATATATTCAATAAATATTTAATTATATTAATTCGATAATTTACATTATGGGATAGCACCGTGTGTGACCGCATCGGCAGATTGCTTTAAAGGCGTGTTTGATTGGACGATGGGGAAAACGAAAGTACGATTTCGATATTAAAACGCGTCATTTAAACTTGAAATTCGTTAGTTCTACATGTTTGGTTGACCAATGGTGAAAACAACTGAACCGTCCAACCGCTGTAAGATTTACATAGTGATCAGGAAGAGCAGTTGGGCCATCCAGCGTGTTTAGTTTACTGACTGGAAAGACTACAGCTACAGACTGTAAGTTAAAACAGCGATGAGTTTACACATTGTTTTAGAAAGTGCTTGTAGATAATCGACATCTTCTGTACACTGTCATAAAGTTCTAAGTTCTAACCAATAATACAATTCAGCGATTAAAGCAGGAAATTTGAAAGGGGGAGAGGGTCCATATTTAGCTCTGAATGTCCTCCTCTCTCCCCGGGAAAAAATAACTAGAATCGCTCTGTTGCGATCGATCTGGGAGTATTTTGGGAGATTTAATTTGAAAACATATTTCGAGGTGAAGAGAGGCAGAGAAATGTAGGAGTTCTGCATTAAATGTTTTTTGTATTTCGAAAATATCTTTAAACACATTTCTAAAGATGTTATTCTGTGATCTTTTGTGATCTTATCTTATGGTTTCGTAAGTCAAATAGGTAATACACTATCAAGAAATACATTGCACATTAAGCTTTATCGTGAACTGAATGAATACATGTCTCTTAATTTAAATCTACTTTTATTTGGGGATTCATCTCTTTCGGAACAGGAAAACATAACGATAGTCATGCATACTCAGCAATACATTCGTGACTCTAACATATTCTAGTAACAACCCCCTACCCCCGACCCCTGTCCTCTCTCTCCCTCGCTCTCAATTGAACCATAATATTCACCATCTCTATTTAAAATTGTCTCGGAATTGATGAAAATGATTGATAGTAACACATAAATATAACTGTATGTAACAATGTAATAAACCATGTGCTTGGTCTTTCTCTGACGGACTAGTAGAAACGGAAATACCAGAAAGTATAGGGATGTGATGAACATTTGAACAGCAGAAAGTTCTGAACAGAGAATTGAATATCACCAGTTCCGTTTGCATGGAGAAAGAACTACCACATGGTCTGATATGCATTTTTACACTATGTTGTTTTGGTGTTTTGGAGGCAGATATCATTTGTCATGCATTAATTATGATGATGAGATTTGTACTAGAGTTGCACACTATACCCCCCCCCCCCCCCCCCCCCCCCCCNCTCTCTCTCTCTCTCTCTTATACTTTCAATTATAAATTAAAGCATTTAAAAATGAAATAGGGTATATATGTATATTAATTAAGTCTGCCATCTTGTCATATTGTAAATATTTGCTTGTAATTTGTTGGGAAAGGGCTTAATTTAAGTTTAATAACTTGAGCCCAATCCATTTCTTGGCAAGAAAGCATGTTTAAACAAAATATGCCTAGATTCATAGAAACAATGATAAAGTTATCGACGCAACACAAGTTCCACCCGGTGGCGAATCACATAGGGTGAGTGGGCTTATCAGGTCACATAGGGCGAGGGGGCTTATCAGGTCACATAGGGCGAGGGAGCTTATAAGGTCACATATGGCGAGGGAGCATAGGCAGGCATGAAATACATCATAGATTTATAAAACATGTAATAATATAAGGTTAGGGTAGTTATTTAAATAACTTCCTGAAAAATACGGATCGACGATTTTTATCAAGTCAATATAACAAAAGAAAACGACTCCAGTTTTAACTCATTAATTCCTATTCCCTATAGGTTAAACAACACGATTTTAAATCCACCAGTTGATAATACGTACACAGTTACAATACTTTCGATTTCTACCTTACACAATGATAATCGTGATATTTCTATATAAAATAACCAAATATAAAATATAGGATATGTAACCATTGATAACAGGTGGTTGAATCGACGATGTTCAGCAATATCAATAAGGTTGATAAAAAGGAAATTAATCAACGTCGTTTCGACGTTATATTGAAACAACATTTCGACGCTGAAACAAATAACGTTGAATCGACGTTGATACCACTGTAAATTGATTGGGAGTTTATATTTAGGGTGCTCACCTAACTCTGTGTATTTTAAACTCTCGACATTAGTTACCGTATCCAGGGTACTTATTACCGCATCTGGCTCTATACAAACACTTCCTGATGGTGCAATAACAAATCTAGATTATTACCTCGTCACTGTTATGTCTTATTCGGCTTAACTGAACAGTTCACTGAGAGGTTATTATAATTTATTTTAAGCTGAATTTCACTATCATATTTCACTAAGAAATCCATCCCCAGTAATCCAGGTTGACTATCTACCTTTGCCACTATAAAGGTATGTTCGAAATTATTTGACCCCATTTCGAAAACTCAAGGAATACACCACTTAACATCAAATTGGTTTCCATGCATTCGCGGTAGTGAGACTTGTTCCAAATATCTGTAGGGACTGTTCGTCTGATCCTAATTTTACAAACTCCCTACAGGAGAGAACAGAAACAGGAGACCCAGTATCTACCAGCATCCTACATGTTACATTGTGCACCTGTACATCTGTATACAGACAGCGCATGCCAGAATATATAATATAAGTTGAACCTGGCCTGACACCTTCTCTATCACTTCTATATAAATGATGCCTTTGGGAGCGCGGTCCCACTACAAACAGAACGCATTACATCTGCAGCACACTCGCAGGCATACACACATACGGAATCCTGATAGACTGGCATCTCGGCCACGGCCCCATTCTTCTTTAGATTTTCGACCTACTTAGCTTGTCTTCTAAGTCGCTTAAACTACATACATGACTGAAAGGGATACATGTAGGCTGTATATGTATAGTGCATACGTCTCGGTTGTAGACCTAGCGAATTGGAATCGTTTAAGGACCACGAAAATATTGTATGTACTTCAAACCGATTGGAGAGATTTATCGTCGCCATAGCCTTCGCTATCATTGCTATGCCGATGGCACACATATGTACATGGTCATCAAACCACAGGACAGTTGGAATTCAGTCTCAGAAAGTCTGGAAGCCTGTCTGACAGATATCAGTAGCTGTATGAACGCCAACATGCTTAAGCTTTATCAGGAAAAGACGGAACTAATCGTCTTTTCCCCAAAGTGTCAGCAAACAATGGCTCTCCAGCTCAAGGTCGCTGCCAGAACTATTGAGCCTGTTACAGCTGTTAAAAACCTCGGGGTATACTTTGATAGTTCACTGAACATGTAGAAACAAGTGAACGCTATTGCCAAATCCTGTTACTACCAGATCAGGAACATCGGCTGTATTCGGCAGTATTTAACTGCAGATGCATGCAATATGTTGGTGCATTCACTTGTTACCTCTCGGTTGGATTATGGGAACACCCTGCTCTGTGGTTTATCTGACAAACTAACTAGTCGTCTGCAGAGGGTTCAGAACACTGCAGCAGGCTGGATACTCGTACTCGAAAGAGAGAGCACATCACACCTGTGCTTTATTCGTTGTACTGGTTACCGGTACGATACAGGTCGCAGTACAAAATTCTGGCTACACATACAAGGCACTGAATGGTACAGCTCCTCAGTACATACAGGAGCTTGTTACCCTGTATCAGCCATCACGATCACTGCGGTTGGAGTCAGAATCTTTGTTGTGTGTCCCAAAATCTCGTACTGTGACCTACGGAAACAGATGCTTTGGGAGGGTTTCGGCTACGTTGTGGAATAGCTTACCATCTTCTATTAAACAGTCAAATACCCTGGCCAAGTTCAAGAGGGACATCAAAACTCACCTCTTCACGTCTGCATTTTAGAATCTTTGCAAAGACGTCATGTATATACCACCCTTTTATTTGTTCAATTATGTGCACATTGTTTGCTTAAGTGTATAAACGTGATTGTAAGCCTTTGTTTTTTGTTTTCACAATTATGACCATTACTATTATCCATATGTTGTAAAGCGCTTTAGAGTAATTTTACAAATTATATAGGGCGCTATATAAAAGTTGTATATTATTATTATTATTAAGATAGTACTGTCGTTTTCCCAATAGTCCAATCAAATACGCCGTTACAGCAAGATGGCGATGAGGTCACAATATGCTATCCCACAATGCAAATTATCAAATCAATATATTTTCAATTACACACATATATTGTATTTTTTATTTTATACAAATATTTTGAATTGAACACGATATATTTTTTTCGAGCAATTTCTTTTCGTATACATTTTTTTTCGAACAAATATATATTTTATTGCACATATATAGTATTTATTGAGCATTTATATTTGTTTAT